TATATCTTGAGCCTCACACACCACCCACCTCCTGTGTAGAATTTACACAAGCATTGAAAGATTGTGGAATACCCAAGGAAATCATTTTTCAGTCGATTGAGTCCTTAATGGAAAAAGCTCTCTGAATGCTGTCTTACAAATTAGAAGATCCCCTGCTTTCTAAATACTTCAGCTGAAACCAGCTTTGTGTTTATGCTTCAGGTCATTCAGGCTGAAACATGGGTAAGTCTCAAATCCAAAAGTCAGACTTCTAAAGGTAAAATGTCAAGTCCTTTTAGGCTTCCACTGACCTTTTAAACCAGATTAGGGATTTGGAGCATTACACTTGGATTTCCACATTTTATATCCCCATATTTAACAAATGATCAAATATAACTCCCAAGAATACTATTTTTACAAGGTTGACATTTTGGGTGTGAGAGGTGGCTGTCTGACTCTTTTACATAAATTTATTGGCGAGGGAATTCAGTGATTTCTTTGGTTATTTTTCACTTCCATTTATTAAAATAAACTATATGTTTTACTACATGGTCTACAATAACTAATGCTTTAAAACAGTCACTAAAAGATGCAAAATGACTACACCTTTGCAGCTCTTTAACTTAAGAGCAGATGAAAGTAGACACAATAGATTCTATGTACTAATGATAAGTAATGATTCCAACACATGTCTCAGATTATAAATTTCCTAGGGCTTTACTTACCTATGTGGCATTCTCCATGGGCCATATGTAGCTCATAGTATTCAACTTTCTTGTTAATTTCTCCTGGAACTATTTGTTATTGTTGTATTTTAATATTGTCTCCAATCTGATTGAATAACAGTTATCAGCTAAGAATGAAATAGGAAAAAAAAAAACCCTACTCAGGCTGAAACTCATATCAACTAAATCAGAAATGGGCTGGATCTCAGCATCAGTGGTTTCTAAATCTCTTAGTGTAATTTCTAGGGATGTCCAAAGCTTTGCACAACCACACATAACTCTAAGACATATTTAATAATATATATTTATACAAATTTTTAGAACTAATTATGGAAATAAGGAATAGAAAGCCTTATTTGAACCCCTTGTACTTAGCTTCCAGTACTTGACATGGAGGTCCTATATGTCTTCATTTAACAATATTTATTGAGATCTTCCATGAAGGGCAGCAATAAAAGGATATTGGTCCGAGTCTTGAAGCGCAGCATTCAGTAGGCAGCAGGTACATCTATATCTATAACATAATGGCATTTTTCTCACATCTGAGATGCTGATGTTTAAATCGGTTGAGGTTTGTGAATTTCACAATTTCAAATATGTAGAAATAATAAGAAAGAAACTAACATTGTCTCCTTCTTCTGACTCTTAAATTCCCAATTAACTTTTTGCTAAACTCCTTTTCATGAAGTAAAATTAGGTGGGAACTCTACAATGGAAATGGACTCTGAATACTCATGACCACTTCACTCCTCCCATGAACAATGGTTGTTATGATCAGGAAGTTTTCTGTATAGAGTTGTCTGTGACAAGAGAAGCATTTAAGAGCAGGAACCCAGTGTCAGCAAGGATCAAAAGACTGTTACAAATAACATCACTCACTGTAAAGAGGAATCAAATATATAAAAAGGTCGACCCATGAAAGCAGACCATGAGTGTTGATGCTTATAAAGGACTGTAAATTTCCATTAGGTGACTTGTTATTGCAATGGCCAAAAAAATAGAAAAAAAGTGTTGGCATTCAAGTCACCTGACTTCCTGTCTGATTTAAGTCCTCTGGATTTTTTTGTTGAAGATATCAGAATAACCAGGGAGTCTCCAACATACACCTCAAGAATTACATTTGAACTTTTATGGTCCAGTCCCTTGAATGGATGAAATTGAAAAGTTAGAGTTTAAACTAGTCTATTTGATCTGCACCTTGAATAATAAATATGGACTCCAGGATAACAGCAAAAGGTTCCCTTACGTTTTGGATTTTTTTTTTTTTTTTTTTGGAGGAATTTCTTTAAAATTAGGTGATTTGAAGCTAAGTGTGATGGTTCATATCTACAATCCTAGTAGTACTCAGGAGGCTAAAGCAGGAGAATCATCATGAATTTGCTATCAGCCTGGGCTATGCTCTAAGTTAAAGGGCAGCCTGGGCTACACTATGAAACCCTGTTTCAAATAAGCTAACAAAATGAAATAATAAAATAATGGGAAATGATTTGATGGAAGAACCAGTCATTTTCCTAACTAGTTCCACTTTTCTTTCCCAGCCTGCTCTTGGAGTCATTTCTCCTCCCTGGCTTATCTCAAATTCTAGGAATAGCAAGCTTTGTGGGCAAATGTCTCCTATTGTGCCAGTAGAATCCCTCAGATTCAGACCTAAGATAATGATCAACCGCATCACAATTTGACCTATTCTGCTTGACCCTGTGAACCTTCTGCTCATGCGCCAGGCCTGTGTAAAACAGGAGAAATAGCAAAGACCTTGAAGGCAGCATTTAGGTCCCTATATCCTGTCTTTGCAGTGTGAACACAATATGCAAATTCCCTTTCTACCACTTGTCTCTCTAACATCTGATACTCAAGGCAGAATGTGGCCAAATCTCATTGTTGGGGAGCAAACTTAGCTAGAACTAAGGTAGAGGACAATTTCAAGAAATTAAGAATTATTCATATACAGTGATGTGTCTTAACCCAGTGGCATTAGCAAACTGAAAATCATAGAGAAGTGTTCTGTTTTATCTTGCTGAACAATGATCAAGTGTGTCTCAATTAGTTTCTTTATATATTTCAAGATTTTTTTGAAAGAACCATAAAGATAACCTAGTTGAACCCCATTGTTTTGTGGATAAAAAACCCAAGTCACAATATTAATAATAAAGAAAGGAAAGCAATGCTGATAACTCTAGTTGATGATAGAAGCTAAAGCAACACACAGACATCCTGAGGTTTTGCCAAGTTTCAAATATTCAATCTCAGAAAGCTGAGGTTGACAATTATATGATTCATATTTCTTTGACAAGCCAAAGAAGCATGCTAAAAATATATGTATATCTAGGAGAAAATAATTTTTAGAGTCACTTAAAATGAGCATTATGATCAGAGAATGTCACAAAATCTTCATGTCTAGCAACAACAAAATGACAACTCATGACTTAGAGCAGTCATTTCAGGTCAGTCATCACCACATACTTTGGAAGCAATTCACTCACAGCATTACTGGCTTCTCCATGGGGAATACAGTCACTCCCCTTGTTCCCCTCATTTAAACTGCTTAGAAGGCCTTGGCACTCTCAGAAGAAAAAAGACTATACATTGATCAGTTAGTTTCCATTGCCAGTTTTGCTTCCTTTTCAATTTATTTATTATTCTGATGTTATTGTTTTTGCCAGATTCCTTCTTAACTCCTAAGAAAAGTAGACATACTATGAAAAAATATTCAGGTTGGGAGGATATGGATTTGTATGGTTCATTTTAGTAAAAATTGAAATTCAAAATAGTTCAACGAACATTAATGTGTCTTCCATATAACATCAAAGTGGAGACTGTAGTTTAAATCCAAATGATAAGTTTCTAAAAGTTGGAGGTAAACAAAATGCTTGAAACAGTTCATAGGCATTTCTCTAATCAACAACTGTATGCTCATTTCTCCAAGACAATCTACCGCAATCTTGTACACTAGGACATAAGATTGGCAGGGTGGGGTCTCCCTCAGAATAGAATTGGAATAATAAATATTCCAATGTGTTCATGAACTCTACCGCCTTTATTTTTTTTGTGTGAAGGAATGTTATAGATGAAAAAGAAAGGATGTTGAGATTGTTATTAAGAATTAACAGCACATGTTAAAGTAATACATTCAAAGCAAGAAGGAGTCAAGAATCACATGAAAACAATATTGCCGGTTTCTGTGCAGAACTAGTTAATAACGAGCACTTTGACAGTTCCTGTGGTATATGGTGTGCCGCTAATGGCATGGAGATGTTAGCTCTCCCTAGATTTATATCTTCAGTAAAAGTTGTGCTCACCTGTGACAAAGTGTGCAACAGAAAGTGAGGATAGTCATAAACTGTAACCTAAACCTCTTTTGATAAATGGTGTCTTATTAGAGTAAAACAACAAACATAACACAGATTTTTACTTTTCATAAAAGTAAGCAGTACAACAGAGCAGCTCCATACAACTCGGAGGGTGAGGGACAAAAAGATGTGTCAGTTCCATTCTCTATTTTCAACATACTCAAAACTGACAACTGCAGTACCACAATTACACCAATAGAGATAGTTTGCTTGCCTGGTCAATTGAGCTGGAGCTGACCTGGAAGCTTCTGCCCTGAAGACAAGCTCTCATAGTGTCATAAGGTACTGTGTAAGCTGCCAAGGGAGAAGACCAGTCAATGTCCCTACCTAGCCTCAAAACCTACAAACCATGATGATTCTTATCCCCTGCAACCATATGCCAAAATAATCTCTTTGGTCATGGTGTTTTATACAACAGAAAAATAACTAATCCAAACCTGAAATATCTGAAGTTTAAGTAACTTTTCTCAGGTAGGGAAGCTAAAATACCAGTAGAGCTGGGATTTGTACCAAAACAGTGTACCTATCACCACAGAACCTGCCTTCTAGAAGATAAGAGGCAATGACATGAGACCGCTAAAGCGCTTAGCACAGAGGCTGCACAAAGCCAGCCTGGTAAACATGGCCTATAGTTCCCAATGTTTCGACAGTTACTGTTGGTTCTGATGCTTCCTGGATTATGATTAGTCACACTCTAGTTTACTTGAATATAAAAGAAAATGATGACTGGCAGGTTATACAACAACACAAGTGACTGTACTGCATGCACACTGGTAAGTTTATTAGATAAAATAATGTTTATGTCTAATGAGTAAATAAATACAAACTTATTTATATTCCAAAGGTTTATTTTTTTTATCTTCTTTCCTTTACATCTAGGGCATTTCTCTTTGGGGGCAGTTTCTGTCTGTTAACAATTTTGTTTAAAAAAATCTTTAAAAAGTAGATCAAATGGTGAACTCACTCAAAATAGCTGGAGTTACTGACAGATCGGTGGTAGTGGGTGATATTTTTTTAAAGGTCGCTCAGACTGAATTATAAAATGATCAAAATGCAGAAGATGTAACAATAAACCCAAAACCTGAATACTTACTCAGAAAACCCAGAAATATACCAAAGTCTAATGTTTTCTTGCTTTCAGAGTGATGGGGAATTAAAAAAAAAATCCATGTCTGGAAAAATATTCAGGTTATTCAATACAGAGAGGAAAAATCTTTTCTTTAATTAGTCATTTGTGTTATTTAAATGGAAAAAGTTTTAATGACTAACTTAATTTCTTAGTTTGGTGAGAAACAGAAGGAAAGAGAAAAACAAAGACAGTTATTTTCACTTTTAACTATAAGCTGAAGGAGTTAGTGGAGACAACCTCCAGAAAAGCAGTTTGCAACTTATAAGACATAGTAATTCTCCCTTCAAATATAGTATGAACTTTAATTAAGTAATATTAGATAAATGCCATGAGATTCATGGATGAAAGATGTTTCAGAGCTCTGATAATTATTTTTTATTATTATGTCTGTCCTGGAAGACCTAAGAGGGTTGATTTCTTCCTGTTAATAATCCTTATCCTCTTAGAACTACTGTTGGTTCAAACATACTGACACCACAGGGGAATGTTCAGCCAGCTGGGAGCCCAGCTTGACTCTCACTCCTTCCTTTTTGTAGTCTTTAAGTTTCAGATGACACAATTCCTGATGGTTTTGGTGTGAGGTTTAGAAACAAGACTTAAAGATTTTTATTTCCTTTCTCTTTAAAATAATACACTCTTTAGCTTATACTATGAGTACTTTTTAAGCAGATAAACTGCAAAATAACACTTATTTATGAAGTTTTCAGTAACAGGAAAGTCAAGGTTGGCATTAAATCCTAGATCCAGGCTTCTTAAATGGACAAAGGGCTGTGATGTCCAAGGGAATTGGTTTGGGAGGTTCCTGGTGGTGAGAAGGTGGGAGGTCAGTCTCCTTTGTGCTGGCTCCTAATTCTCCTCTTGATAATAAGATGTCCTTGAAATTTCAGCTTTCATATTACTGAAGGCATTTTTAAAAATTAGTATCTTATTGAGATATTCATATGTTCCAAAAACTTACAAGCAAATGGACCAACACAAAGTAAAGGTTTCAACCAATGCTAAATATATTACACTAATCTGAGTTTAAGATTCAAAGAGCATGGTTATATTCATTTTCTCCTAATAAAATTTGGAAGATATTAATTTACGTGATCTATACTGAAGTTAGTATTTAGTATTTCTTAAGCTTAAAAAAAAAGAAAACCTCTCACCTTCTTTCTCCCCCTTCACATTCTCTCTAAAGCGAGTTATTAACAAAGCATTTCATAACTCACAAGCTCAAGTGCAACAGAGTATACACTAAAGTGAAGATATTTTATAGATTTCTATGAAAAGAACAAAGTGGTTCCAATACACACACACCCCAAAAAAGAAAACAAAAAAGAACGAGTAACAGGAAATTTGAATCTCAACTCGCCAAGTTTGTTGAGTATTTTCACAAATGAATTATGCATTCAGAGAAGCAGGGGTACTGGAAATGTCATCACAGGCATTTAAGATTGTGATCTGACAAGCCAAGTCTTTGCCTTGCCCACTTCTTCATCACAGTGTTGCCTTCTTGAAAGTCTGGGGAAACTGAACACATATGCCTGACCAAAGTCCACATTTACCTCCCAGAATGGGCCCTATGCAATGCCATTGTGGCTATATGCCAGGTTTCTGTTCCTATTCCCCTGAGCATTTGTTTTCTGATGTTATGTGAAACCTGAACATTTTCTTTTGCTTACTTGCTCATTTGGGTTCACTCTTCCTCACTTGAATTTCTCCGTACTTACTGGCTTGTACAGAGGGGAATGCTGATTTTAAACATGGCCATAATCCTTCAGAAACCCAGAAACTATGAGTTTAGGGACTGTAATCAGGAAATTGTTAAGCTGCTATGAACCCCCCGCCCTTGGTTGGAAGGGTGACTTCTCATTGATGAAGGCAGCGATAAAAAATTCTCTAACCCAAAGCAGAGTTAACAAACTGGACCAGCTCCATTTTTTTGTAGCTATCATGAGATCTCAGCTCTCTCAGCTGTTAGGAACCGTTTAATAGATATAGTGGAGGTTATTTCTAATTATATCTAATTTCGTGTATTATTAGACACAATTCAAACAAATTATGCTCATAATTATGGTTCATAGTTTATAATATAAATCAGTGAAGTGAATATTTATGTGTACATCAATCTAGATGGTTTTCAGAAGAACTTATAACAATTTGCAAAGAAAAATATAATTGCAAAGTTCACCCTAAATGTCAAATAATAGGCCCACATTATCAAAAGATCAATTTGTATCTTATATCCACTAAATCAGTTATGCCATTCTTGAAACTGGAAATTACCATTATCTGTACCAGAAATCTGAAATCTTACATTTTAAGTCTGAATTAACTACAAATGAGCCCTGGTCATTTCCTAATCCCATCATATTTTAATATTTGACTTATGACATTATCCAAAGGATTTATATACAGCTATAGATATCTTAAACGTTTCTTAAAAATACTGTTGAGGATGACACATGCCTTTAATCCCAGTACTTGGAAGGCAGAGGCAGGTAGGTCTCTGTGTTAAAATACAATGGTAATTCTATCAATAATATACCAGGAAAGCACAAATATCAATTTAAAAAGATATAGGTTCATAATACAAAAATTTCTGGATTTGACTCTAGACATCGAACTTAGAAATAGCATTCAAGATAAATTTCAGTAAGTTCTGGAGTTCTAGTATACAGGGTGCCTGCAGGTAACAGCAATGTATTGCACATTTCAAGAAACTAAAGGATTTTGAATGTTTTCACCATGAAGAAATGGTGAAATGCTCATCCTGATGTTTGAATGTCACATGTTGTATATACATTTGAAGATGTTACATAGTACCCCATCAATATGTGCAATTTTATATATTTTTTTAAATGATTTATTTAATAACAACATACTTAGAAGAAGCATATCATTACAACACAATTGACATATTCAATAACGGTTTAGGATGCATCTCTTTCAAAATTGGCTGTAAATTTTTAGGTTTACAGTTGAATTATTACGAGAACCTTGAGAGTGAGTAGGAAGGATGGACTGGCAGGTTGGCAAGCTGGCAGGCTAGTAGGTGAGGTGACTAAGCAGTCAGATATTCCTGATCAGGGCCAGTTTGGGGGGAAGAGATGACCTGCTCCTGCTGTGAGAACCCTGGGTTTCATCCACTTCTCTACCAAGATATTTACCAAACTCTTAAACAAAAGACTAGCAACTCCTCAAAGACCAATTCTGCCCTCTGTGATTTTGTAAAGTTCATCCCACCTTGCATGTCCTTTGTCCTGCAGAGTTTGGATCTGGCCTGAAGTGTCTTAGCTGTCTTTCTCAATTCTGACAGTCTCATAACTGTGCTGTCAGCATTAATCTTTGTTCAAGTTCAGACCTGGACTGATCTTCCTCCTTACTGTCTGAAACTCTCCTCAACCCACAACTCCCCTTGGGACAGGCCTTTGTAGAGCCAGGAGTAGGCTGCTGCTGCAAGGCGGCTGGGTGGAGCCTGTCTTCAGCAGCTTGGAACTAGAATGTGTCCTCTGCTCCCAGGGGCTCTGTGTTTAAAAACAGCACAGGCAACCCTCCCTGTGCTGGTGACACACAGACTCATGAGGGTGAATAATCATTTTGATAGTCATTTTGGGGGTAAGCAACAGAACAGTGAATAAAAACTCATCTCCAACTAAAAATA